CCTATGTTGCCTATATCTTTTTTGGCCTTTGGGTCTGTACCATTCTGTGCGATGGCCCACGAATTCGCGCATGTACACATGTGTCTAATAGTAGCAAAGGGCATCGCTACTAGGAGCAAGGACGCTACTAGTAGCTCCTGGCCATACTACCAGTAGCAAGAAGCTACTAGTAGCAAGGACGCTATTAGGTGTCTGTTCCAAGGCTGTGCGTTGCTGAAGAGTCCTGAGTGACCAACACTGCCACATCAGTGATTCCGAGTAGGATTAATTCATGCCACCGTTCTGCACCTCTGCTTGGTATCACCCCTTGGAGCTGCTTCTTCAGTCTATCATTTGTGGATTGTCAATCAGAATGGAGTGGCAACATTTAAGTCCTAGTCTCATGTGACCTCACATCTACCATCCGCCAAAGCCTTCTCGGCTACTCAAATCAACCTAGGATTCACGTTCAAAAGACCCAGGGACCCTCAGTGCGACAGTCTGTCATTGATGTTTTACCCTAGTCACCCTAGTCAAGTTGGCATCAGTGCTCAAACAATCCTGGCCCACTCCGCCGTGCCTCGTTATTGGGCCCCCGCCTGGCGAGTAGAAACCCAACTACAAATCAGGCCGGGAGTGAAAACCTTGAGGCCGTTCATAAGGGTCGGAGTGCTTCTAGGTTGCTGATGGTTTCTGGATTCCAGGCAAATACGCTACAAACACCAACAGAGAGGTCACCAGGGCCTAGGGGCAGATTTCCACCCATCATTCCTGCAATCCTGCACGATCCAAACCCAAACTTAATTTCACAATAGGCAACCTCTGAGTCTGCTTGCCTCCACCTTAATCCTTCGACACCCATTGCACACACCTGCCGACCTGACTTGACTCAATCGCCTTTTTTGTTAAGCCTCGGGGGCGGTAGGCCGTGTGGACGTGAGGTAGGTTAGCTAGGTAGGTAGCTAGTAGAAGCTATAGGCAGCTAGTAGCTTAAGTAGCTACCACTTAGGACACAGGATAGCTCACGCACTATTCATTTGGTTCCTAGAGTTTTTAGGGAAACTTAAATGAATACATGTTCATGGCACTCCACTCAGCTGGAGAAGGACAGGTCGCTCACCGCTAATCCTCTTCACGATCTGTCCTTCACCCAAACCCATGTTCCACCAAAAGAAAACACAATCATGAAGAATAACACAGTGTGGCAATATATCTCTCTCTCTCTCTTTCCCTACCCAAAGGCAAGCCCTGCACCCTCAAAGGCTTTGGGCCTCCAAGATGGGCTTTGAGTCTCGATGAGCCAAAGCCCCTGTCTCTTCCTTCCCACACGTTGCTGTCTCGTTCCCTCGCCTTCTTCAACTCAGCTGCCAAGCTCCGAGCGTTCTCGCTGCAAAGTGGACCGACCTCGCTCCGGCGTCGGTGCCAGCAGAAGTCCTGCACGCAAAATGCGGCCGCTGAGCACGACTTTCAACAGCGCTGTGGGCTTATATTTAGTTTCTTTTATCCAAACAGTTGATGCTATAGGTGCACCAAAATGTGGGGCGGATTCTCGAAATTGATGAGGGACCATATATAGTGCGTTTAGTCCACTAATGTCCACTATCTTTATCAGTCTGCTCTTGAACTGATGAACTGTTTTTGATCCTGGCATGTCCTGGCCATGTGGGCCTCAAAAGGAGACAATCACCCATGTAGCCCTGTGGCTCTGTGTGGGTTGTTTTCGATGTATTTCTTTCCGCGAGGTGTTCTGGAGGGTCCATTCTTTGGGTCCATGGCCCATGCCCATCTGCAGTTCTAATGCAGTTTCAAGCGCGAATCACCGTCCAAGCGTCATTCTGAGACTCTGGGGAGTAATTAAGCGGATCAACCTGAATTTGGATCAGTTTTGTGACCCACCGTCCACTGGAGACCATCTTGGCTCCAAAACAATGGATAGAAGAATCAGAAGAGGTGGGCGATGAAATTCAATGTCTGAACGATCATCATGCCGTGATAAGCAAGAAAGATACAAGAGAAAGAATGAGAAATAAAACCAAGAAGGCAAGCACCCTGTAATAAGATCACTTTATGTATTTCATTCCTGATGTGTCCATTTTGCTTATAAAAGAAGAGGGTCGTGGTGAGTCGATAAATGGTCTTCATGGCAGGGAGAGAAGTCAGCAGCTGCAAAATCCAGTTTGGTTAGAATTCAGTGATCAACTTTTGGTTCGACACCCAAACACCAACTTCGCTCGTCCTTCCAGTTCTCCCAAGTACTGCCTTTGTTGAATGGGCTTGCCATAGACCTGCAACCAACATGGATCCACACAACACTTCCATCGAAGTCTGATCGTCTGGTCGTCTGATCCAGTCTGATCTTGTGTCCGAAACGACCTCATCAACTGACCAAATCCAGTCAAGTCCGAACCAAAGTCGCTTGGAAAAGCATGTTTCTTCATTTCATGGCTCTTATTGGCACTATGTTTTCTTGCCAAAGGCAAAGGCCAAGGCAAAGAAAGCCGCAAGGAATTGTCGAGTGAGCTGGACCCAAAGTAGCGCAGAAACGTTTCAGGATCACTTTTCTTGTGTTTACACACCACTCTCCACATCTCCTATACATGCAGTATACAGTTATATGGGGATTTTTGATAACCTAAATGTTTGGTCTTCGGAACCCTGGACAAAAAATACCAACATCGCCGTCGCAGTATTTGGATCCGCTGGGCAATGGTGAAGAAGGGTTTATATTTTGGCGAGCTGTGAGCGAGGTCACCAGCAACTCCAGAGATCAGTCAAACAGTTTCATGAGCTGTTACTACTGGTCACTGCCTCCCTTCTGGGTTTGTTCACATGCGTCAGCCCCTGGCAGAACAATGAAGACACCTGAAAAAAGAACATAGACATTCAAAGTCGAGTGTTAACCCATTCAACCTCAGGTGTATCCTAATTAATTACATCTAAAAACGTAATATCCTGTAATCATTCTGCATCGCCACGTAAGGCAGCGCAAGGCGCCTATTGCCACAAGAATCATAGACCCAAAAGTGGCGATAACGAGCACAGTTCATATGCCTCATGAGGCGTCGTGGCGTGGCGCGAGTCATGGAAGTTGGGTGTGTCCTGCAGAACGTTGCAAATGAGATTCTACACATGCCAAGTTGATCTTGACTCGTTAGATGGTTTCCAAATCATCTTCTTTGCCAAGGCGTTTTCAAGTGGTAGCGACAATAGTGGATCCACTATGCTGAATCCCAGGAAAACTGTTCCGTTCTGCCAAGCATGGGTGAATTTGTTGGGCTCTGGATGGGAAGTTTTCCGAGGACTTGAAGCAGCGATGTCGACTCAAGACTCGATGAAGGTCTATGAACATGATGTTGCGATGTGAAGTAGATTGGCGTTAGATTTTGGTGGGGTGAGGAGGTTGGGGCCAAAGGAGTGACGTTCGTTGCAAGTGCAACATAGGCAGATTACAATGATTCGCAGTGACGTTGCTCGGGTGATGTAGAACTACTCCGCAAACGAACTTGTTTCGTGATGTAGGTTCATGTCATGTCTACGCTACTAGGGGCTCCTGGCCTTACTACTAGGAACAAGAAACTACTAGGGGCTCCTGGCATCGCTACTAGGAGCAAGGACGCTACAAAGTACTACTAAGCCTTCCTCAAAATGGAATGAATTTTGTAATGACAAATTTCACGAATAAAGCAACAGTTTTCTGTTTTAGGGTGTTCAGGCGCCTTGGTGCCACAGGGGTTTCTTTAAAGAAAGACAAGGTGTTTGGTGTAAGTCTATGAAATTCAGTTTTACACGCATAGACAAAAAGTTCAAAAAGACCTGGAAACCAAGCAAAATGAGCAATGCTCACAACATGAATGCAGTGGAATCTTAGTGAAAGTACTAAAACCTAGGGTCACAAGCGCCATCTATGAACACGAGGTGCGAATGTGGCGAATGTAGTGCAAGCTGCTGAAAAAAACTTGAAGTCTGGATGTAACTTGACAAAGCAGTCGGAAAGTGAGGAATCCCAAAGAACAATAATCCCATGTTGAACTTAAACTCCAGCAAGTGGCAAATTTATATTCTAAACTGCACTCTTTCTGCACTTGACTCATGACCCTGAAATTGATTTTAAAAAAAACAGCGTTAAAGGACAAACATGCTGAACGATCCAAACGAATCTGATGTTCTGCGGATAAAAGCGGTAAAATAAGTATATATTATAATAGAAGTGGTAAGCAGTATAATCTAACAAACATGCTAATACGAAGCGGTTAGTATTGACCTGACTGTTTCAGGCTGTCTCATTTTTTGGGGGACCAGAAGTGACCCAAACTGCATGTTTCGGTATTTTTGTGACCTGACCTGGCTATAAATAAAGTGCCGCTAGAGTTCTGAAATGATTTCAACCGACTGTTTCAGGCTTTTTGAGACCTGAAGTGTTCTGACCTAACCCATGTGGGCCCATCTAACGACTTTTGAAACACAAAGTTTGAAGATGTTTGAAGTTATTTTAGGTGGCCCCTAACTTGCTGGAGAGTGGGGCATGTGTGTTTAATCATAGGTGGACAGGATTATATACTTTCTGTTAGTGTGCTTGTACATGGAAAAACCACACCGTGAAAAAGTCAGCAGCAAGCTGTGCACTTTTTCTACGACAGGGTGGATGGTTTCTCCCTATCCTGCCGCCTGTGATGGAGGGCGCCTCCACCACAGGATATCCTGTCCCAGGGGCTCCCTGGGGTCTCCCAAGACGTCGCGGACGCACCTGCCAGTGGAGGCTCCCCACCTGGCAGGGGGAAGTTGTGGGAGGGTGGGGTTGGGAAAACAACTTCACGAACCCCTCGAGCCTCCAAGCACGGAAACAAAAATCGGTCATAACAAGTCATGAGTGATTTCTGTTAGTGTGCTTGTACATGGAAAAACCACACCGTGAAAAAGTCAGCAGCAAGCAGTGCACTTTTTCTACGACAGGGTGGATGGTTTCTCCCTATCCTGCCGCCTGTGATGGAGGGCGCCTCCACCACAGGATATCCCTACTTCAGTCAGGATGTCCACCTCTCGAAGAATTTCTTCGACCTCCTCTTGGACTGCCCGACTACTGCCTTCGTCTTCTTCTTGTTCTCCTTGTGCTCCTTGATCTCGTTGAACAACACTTCACTACTCTCAAGCAGGTCGCCCATGACATACCACTTCAGCTCCTCCTCCACGATGAGTTCCCGCCTACGAAGGTCAAAGGAACTGAAATCCTCATTCGTCAAAGCATCTGCGAGAACATTTCCATCTCTGCTCACCCAAGTCAACGTGGCAAAGGTATCAAGCCTCCTCAAAGTCTCAGCCACTTCTATCACCAAGAGCGTGATGGGATACTTCGTCGACAAACCTTTCTTCAGAATGAAGGCATTCCCCCTATTGTCAGTGAAGGCCTCTGCTAGGACCTCTGCTGTGCTTCCAGCCTCCTTCAGCCACAACTTCAAGGCTATCAGGGTGGCAAGAAGCTCCAAAGCTGCAATCACCCTCTTTGGGTTACGGCCCCGGTAATACAGCCATGGAGCGCTAACCTCCGTCACCTTCAGGGAAAACCACCTGCACTCGAAGCTGTTGCAACTCTCCTCAAGCCAGCCTCCTATCCATGCTGGCCATTCCTACTGGGGGCCGCAACATGCATCATCCGGTCACCTGGTTGTTACTGCGCCCAAGACGTGCGCAGAGAGCTGGCAAGCTGACCGGCGAGTGTCTCCGATGTTGGTTTGATGAGAACACATCACCAGGCTCAAACAACTCACCACTTCTTAAGCCAGAGGGCTATGACCAAAACCTAGCCGCGCATTATTGCTAGTTCTCACCACCAAAGCAGCGGCAGCCAGCACCGCGCAGGGCCAACGCGAATTTGTTGAAAAACTTCTGCAGACACCCTGTTCCTGCAAAAACATCCTGAACGCAAACAATCCAGAAAACCCTGCGGGGCCACTAAATCTGCAACCTTCGAGGACCTTCGTGGACCTTCGTGGGCCTTCGTGGGCCTTCATGGGCCTTCGTGGACCTTCGTGGGGCTGGCAAAACCTTCGTGGACCTTCGTGGAAACCTTCGTGGACCTTCATGGCGTCTTGACTAGCGACATAAAGAACCTTCGTGGACCTTCGTGGAAAAGGAAAACCTTCGTGGGGGTTCGTGGGTGGCCCTTGAAACCTTCATGGGTGGATCCGCGCACCTACACTGCAGTCAATCCGCCTAAAAATTTTGTTGAGCGAAAGAAAACCTGAAAAGTTCTGGACCGGAGCATTTTTGATAGAAAATGAATGTTTTGCCCACAAATGTTGACAAACCGGAATCAAACGGCGGTCGTCAAGTAAATGTGCGGTGTTTCTGAAACTCGGAGACTTCCATAATCCAAATCCCTCACTAGGCCAAAATATGTCTCTCATAGTTTCTAGCTTGGTGCCAGGCGCACGACCCCAAACAATAAGACATCAACATTCGCACCACTTCGTTGTGCCAGGAAGAGCACACTTCCGAACTGAACAGGACCCCAGTAGGAATGGCCAATCCATGCCTCTTCATCTGTGGCCTTCGCGTCGGTCCAGATCTTCAAAGGAGCTCCGCTAGTGCACTTTGGCCTCTTCACCGGCTCGAGCCTTCCGCCAGACCTCAACCTCTTGGCAATCCAACTCAAAATGAAGAGCACCGACCACGGGATCGTCAATGCCCCTTTGTTGGACTGAATTGCTGCTGACCAGGCATACAAGGGGCCTAGTAGAGGCCTCTCCCATGGCAGAGCCAACGCGGTGAAGCCCAGCCGCCCCAGGCCCGCTGCAAACTCTCTGGCACTAACCTCTTTCCTCAGCCTCAATGAATCAACCCAATCAATGATCCATCCAGCTCTCCTCTGCGAAAGGCCCATGGAATAGGTCTTGTAGTCTGTTGTGAGGCCAATCCACTCCGTGACCATGCCTCCCCTCTGTTTCGCTCACTTGAAGGGGGCACCCAGTGCGGCCATCAGCGCAAAAGCCAGGACGCCACCTATCCTTCCCGTTCTGCCCACTGTCAAGACCTCAAGGTCATCGGCATACAAGAGCATGTCATTCGGGAAGGCGTCGCCCAGAACCCAGTAAACAACTCTCATCAGCGCTGCACTCAACCTTGCCCACCAGTATGGCGTGGAGGCAATCCCAAAAGTGCCTACCTGGTTCACGTACACGACCTCCGACTCCGTTGCCGCCTTGCAAGCCAGAAACCCCTGCTCTTCTTCTGCATACTTGAATCTCCGATGGGCCTTTGCGAAGTCCCCCACCAAAGACAGCACCGCTAATCGCTCCTCCTCATACTCCTCCAGCAGTGCACGCTTTTCCCTCGGCCCTGGCATGCGCACCTTGTCCCTGCACCGAATCCTGTGGTTCACCATCACACCATGCGTCCCATCGTGAATGACGCGCTTCTTGCCCGTAAGCTCGTCTTCAACCAAGACCGCCAGGGCGGCCACCGCACGGTTTTCACCAAAACGCTGGATGAACTCCTCCTCAATCATCTTGACCATGAGCCCCTCTGCAACTTCCTGTTCCAGGTGCTCGACTAGATATTTCTCATGCTCTTCCGCCGACAGGTAGTTGCTCTTCTGCCAAACTGCCTCGCCCCAGTCCTCACCTTCCAAACTCCACTTCACCTGTTCCTCAAAGATGTCAGGTGTACGGGGCAACTCCTGCAATACCCCCAATGGAAGCCCAGACTTCGCCTGCTCAAGGAACCTCCAATCAGGATCACCTGCCTTCTCCAGTACCCCCTTCAACAGGTCCAAGAAGAAAGGCTGCCCCGGCTCTGGCTCACCCTGGTCTGCAATGCCAAGCTTCTCACTGAGCACTCCCCTGATCCTCCTCAAGAAGTGAGCATCACGAACCAAATGGAATCCATCACCTCCTCTCGCCATCTTGAAAGCCTCCTTTTCAACAGCCGCAACACTACCCAAAACCTTGACAGCCTCCAGGAGCAATTGGCGCCCAAGTGAGGACCAAACCTCACCTTCCGGCCTCCTCCTCCGCCTCTCATGCCACCTCCCTGGAGACGCCAAACCTCCTCCATCATGGAACGAAGCCTCAAGACCCTTCCACAGGCAAGAACGAGGGGGGCCTTCTCCTCCCGGGAATGGCGGATGCATAGGGTCCACCACCCCCTTTGCAGCAACCTCCAAAGGCTTTTTCTGCACCTTCCTCGAAGCGCCACTTTCCTCCTCTGCCTTCCTCTTCTTGCAGTCTTCCATCGAAAACACCGAAAACTCACCCCCCCCAGAACACTCTTGAAGAAAGGAGGTGAGTATAGCTGAAGCCGTCCACTTGCAAAGGTCGGGTGGCCAAGCTGCGGACTGGGCTGTCTTGAACACACCATGCCGCTTGCCGATGAGGGGGGCGCCCCCTGACCGGCGGGGAAGTGGACCAACATACCACCCTTCATGATCAAACTGCGGTCGTCCCTCGTACATTGCAGGGTGTAAAGGAGCAAACATCCTCATCAGAAATCTTGTTGGCTTCAATGAAGAGGCCCCAAAATCCTGTTGTGCCAACACCACGGTCTGCACTCCATCCATTGCCATCAACTGCTCAAATTGAGGGAACTGCCACATAGACGCTGGTTGGTGGCCCTGCACCCTGTCATATGTAGTGCGCCCCAAGTCCTCTGGTTGCTCCATCAGACCCGTCCTGTTGTTGCATGCAAATTGGCGCTTCAAAGCTTCAAAGGAAAAATCAGCCAGAATCGTCCCGAATTCAGCCTTGTGAAATCTGTCGCCCTTGTTCCATGGAAAGCCCCGTGGGTGTGTAGAGCTCCTCAACGGGTACGGACCCAGATCATTCGCCCAAACAGCCCGCGAAAAAGTGGAACAAGGCGGTGTAACAATGACCGCGAAAAAGATGCCTTGAGCAATCATCCGCAACCATTTCTTCTGTACAGCTGGAATTGTAAAGTCTGACCTTCGATCAGCCTGGATGTCCAACTCTGTGATCTCCACCTGAACATCCAACCGTGGTGCAAGCCTCCTCAGGAAACCAGCCACTGAAGTGCGGCGTTTCCTCCCTGAAAAGACGTATAGGACCTTGAGGGTCCTTCACTTCTTGGTCCCATCTGTGTCTGGGGCCACCGCTTCTTTCCGATTCTTTGCATTGCACTCGTAGAGCGGGTGTTTGTCACTGTAGCAAATCCCGCACACATGCCGATACTTGCATTTGCTCAACTTGCATTTTTCTCCTGGGGTGTTGTACCGGAAGCAGATCAAGTCTCCATCGGGCGTGTGGGTTGCACAATGCGGACTCCCCTTTCCCTTGCCCTTCTTGCTCTTTCCTTTCTCCTTGCCCTTGCCTCCCTTCTCCGTGGCCCTCCACTTTGCATCTGGCTGCTCTCTCCATGGTGGCGTTGGCCGTTTTGCGTATAAGGCAAGGGGTGTTGTAAAGTTCCGCTCCTTGACCGTTGCGTCTTTCCATGCCATCTTCAACGCCACTGTGAGCGGCTTCCCTTCCGTGTTCGTGAGCTTCACTGCCTGCTTCCTGACTGCTTTCTCATATGCAATGATCAGCTTCCATGGTGGTGCAGCGAAAGTCTGTCCTTCAGCATCCTTTGCACTGAGACCATACACGTAGTCGCCAAGGAGGTAATCCTTGTACTGCTCAACCGTCTCTTCCCATGCTCCTTGCAACTCATGCCTGTTGGAGTGCTTCAGTGATATCATGACCATTGCGTTCTTCCAAACTGTCAACCTTTTTCGAAGTTCTTCGGCGTTTGCCGGTTCCTGGACTTTCGTCGAGCCCTTCTTCATGGCCAATCGGCCCTTGGAGTCCCAAATAGGCACCACAGTCTCAGGCTCGCTTTCTTCTTTCGACACAATCTCCGTGAGCTCCTCCGCGCGGTATTCACCGCTTTCGACCTCTGCCAACTTCTTTTCAATGTATTCTTTGGCCGGGTAGATCTTGTCTTCCAAATGGCCGTACCTCTTCTCCAACGCCGACCTCATCGCTGCCCATTCCCCGGCCACCACTGGGCGTGACCATTGAAGCGAGTCGTACTCCGCGTCAACCTCTGCTGCTCTCTGACTCCTTGTCTTGGCATTACTGAATGCACAGACGATGGCTGAGACCTGCACTCTCTCATCCAAGGACCTCTCAGCATCTAGCTCCCAATGCTCCTTGAGAACCGCAGTCAAATCCTCTCGATCCTTTGCGAAGTTCGACAGCTTCTCGAGGGTTGTCACACCATGGTGATAGAACAGCTTTTGGTTGTCAACACTCACTTCATGCCTGGAGAAAAGGTACTTGAGGTCGGTGCCAGCAGCTTCCACCGCCTTAGTGCCCTCAGCATCAGTGAGCACCGCCCTTGGCATGCTTGCCCCGGGTCTTGAGCCCCAACCTCTCTGGACACACCGGCCAGAAATGCTGCATGCGATGCCGCAAGACACTGCTGTGCCAATCGTGCATGCTATGCACAAAGCCGTTCACATGCTATGTGAAAAACCTTCTCAATGCGTGCTGTGAGGTGCGACCCCGCCTCCTCCGCATCTCGAAGCCACCGCGCGCCTGCTGCGCTCCTCCCCCAAGCCTGAGCGGCTCGCTCTGCCCGGGGTTCCCTAATCCTACCAAGCTCAGCTAGGGTGCGACCCTGCAGCATGGTTCACCAAACAGACCCTCCCCCTGGTGCGACCAGAGGCTTGCGTTTGCTTTCTCAAAAAGACACTCCCTCGCCCAGCATTCCATTTTAGTCGCTGAGGCTCAATTCGTCGTAGGAGTCACTTGTGGACTCACTCAACTGACCCCCTCCACCTCCCCAACACAATTTGCATCGGAGGGTGTATTCCTCGGGCTCTGGAAGCTTCTCGTGGACCTCCGATCTCACGAAGACCCTCCTCCTTGCCATCCAGCAGCCCTTGTCTCCAAGCCTATGGAGGGTTCCCCTGCCGGCTCGCCTGTACACGACGACATATCCACCCTCCCTCTCTTCTTCGAGGGGGGTGCCAATCTTCCTCTTCTTTGCATCCTTGGGCTTCTGATCGCCGTCCTCCACGTCACTCTGTGAGCCATCGTAGATCGTGGTCTCATCCTCTGACAAGGGTATGACTGCTTGCGGCCTGCCCTTTGCCCCCAGCTTCTCCTTCCACGCTTCGACCACGCTGTCCGCCTGGTCCTCAGGGACAGTCCACTTCTCAGACAGCCATACCTTGAGCTCCTCAAGAATTGAGCCCTCGTCCAAATCTTCATAGGCCGTTTCGCCCCTCAGGACCCCCACCATCTTCTTCTGCATCTTCTTCACGATGGCGTTGTATGTCCGAACGTAGACGTTCGAACCCTCTGGGCACCACCTCCCGAGGTAGTCACGATCGGCCTTCTCAACACCCGGCGCTGCCAGCCCGCTTGGTAGCGTTGCTCTCTCACCACGCCCTGACCAGAACCTCTCCCAGCCGGAGGGGATGAGCCTTCCACTGTAGCCATCAAGCAAAGCCAGCGTTCTCGCGCTGCCTGAGACCGCCTCCGCATACGTGACATGGGAATCCCCATACCTTGTGCCGTAGAAGCAGCCTTCCGGGAAGACGTACACTCTGTCCCGTGGCATCTGCAGCTTGATCAAATCAAAACCGACTGCCAGCCAATCATCCTGCACCACATATGCGTCTCTGGCTATAAACAGAGGAAGCTCCCTCACTCGCTTTCCTGCACCCGATGTCTTGGACTGATGCAGCATTCCAAGCAACTGACCATCATAGAATCGCAGCTCTGAAGTCTTCAGGTGGGCCGCGTCATCGAACCTCATCGAAGTCCACAGCTTGACAAGCTTGAACCATGCACAAATCCTCACTTCCAAGGGCATGGCCCCGTCGATGACCAGCGTCTCCATAGGTGCCACGAAGCACCCCAACCAGCGAGGCGCTCGCCTGATTGGTGGCGCATTCTGCTCTAGCCTCTTCGTTAGCTCCTTCATCACGAACTGCGGGAATGTCTGTGACATCAACTGCTCATCCTCGGGTGTTCCTGCAGTGCGTTCGAACCATGCCACTGCTGTGCTTACGGCCAGCGGGATCGAGGGCCCCATGCCTTCCTCTTCACGTGCATACATGTAATCCACAAGCATCACTGTGTTTGGCCTCTGTCCCACCTTGCCCATGGACTCGGACCAAATTCGGAAACGCTGCCAAGACGCCAAATACCTCCGGATCGTAGAAATCCTGTATTTCCCCAACAACGCTTCTTTGGCCCTCACAGGATTCATTGCTTTCGCAACTTCCTCCAATACCACCGCGCCGTAGATCTTGAGCTCGTCCACCAACTTGCAGAGCACCTTGTGGCTCACTTCACTCTCCGCCGCAATCCGGCCGCCTCTCAACCGGACAGTCCGTCCCAGCGTACCCCGCTTAGGAACAGCTGGGAGCACCAGCGCTTCTGCTTGCAGCTCGAGGGGTTTCTTCTCCTTGTCCATCATGGCCTTAGCATCCTCCAAGTTCTGAATGGACCGCGACGATGAAGTTCCTCTCACATGATCGTCCAGGTCAACCATCTGGACCGCTTCCCGCACTTGGCCCCTGATGAACGTGGTGTGCCAAGGCCGGGGCTCCAATCCAATGCGCTCCGCCAGCTGCCGAGCTAGCGAATCTTCAGAGCCATGGCTTACTGCTAAGCGCGGTCCTACCAATCCGACTTCGGCGAGAAGATTGAGCAACTTTGCGCTCTCTTCAGGATCGGGGGTGCAAGCACCCCCTTCCATCTCACCAAAATCAAAACAACTTCACGAACCCCTCGAGCCTCCAAGCACGGAAACAAAAATCGGTCATAACAAGTCATGAGTGATTTGGCAGTGGCCATTCTTTGGGGTGCCGGAGGCTTGAGCTGGTGTTGTATTGGACGCAGGGTGGTCCACAGAAGTTTGTGAACTGTGTAGCTTTAGAGGGCCTGTGGGGTTTGACGAACTCGGTTTGCACGATAGTAAAGCAAATTGCATGAAACATAATAGACTTAATAGACGACATAGCCACAACACAGTGTTGACTACAAGTGGTTTATGAAGCGGTCCAAAACGGTCTCTTTTTAGCAGACTGACTGGCAGACTTTGGTGAGATGGTATTCTGGTTTGTTTTAAAAACTGGTTTTTGCCTCGAACTGAAAAGGCTGCACACCACTTTTCAGATCCCTAAAGTGGACCTGTCCCAAATGGGTGTTTTTTCGTGTCGTTTCTTTTTTCTGTTTTATCTAGTTTTGGACAGTTTCACAAATAGTTATCTTTATGCGTGAAATTTGTCACTTTGTAAACGTCATGAAACCTCACCTTGCCTGGGAGATGAAAACAGCCCTTTGTAAAAGCAAGGTTTACTGTGTTCCACCTACACATCTTGACACGGCTTTAAAATTAGTTTAACATGTGCTTCTCTTGTATAAGACTTTATCAATGCATGATACAATTCACACTTTGTCAGAAACACAGGCAGGCTCTGCGTTTACGACTCGTCTCGCGCTTGCTCGTCTCGTTTTCGTTCGGAGAACCTCCCGTCTGGAGCCACATGTGACGTTGCTTCTGCAAAGATGGTTTGTCTGGCCTGTCCAAACATGCCGAACTGAGACTCTTCTAGTCTTGCAGTGGTAAAACCTTCCTATAGCTCTGCCAAAATTCGATTGCACAAAGCAGATTTCTGAGCCACAGAAACATATAGTACTAAACGCCTGTCTCTTGGCAAGTGGAATACTATATGCAGGAAACATGGGAGATCAAAGAAGCCTGCAAGGCCAACAGAAGGCATGAAATTCACTCACTTGATGGCGACCCAGATAGGGGTACTTTGAAACAAACATAAGATCTGTAGAGAGTAAACAATATCTAGCCGTCCATGTCCCCAAGCCGCCTGGGTCCAAAATAACCAGAAGAAATGGGCTAATCCTTCAACCCCTTGAACTGCAACAACCGGCAGTTCTCTTCGGCAGCGTGTCATCCAAGACACTCATTCACGGTCCAGTTCATACCTCAAGTTCTGAGATTTCCGCATTGAAGGGTGGCTGTACTACTAGGAGCAAGGACGCTACTATAAAGTTGTGGGTCATCGTGTTCTAAGGGGGAGTGGAAGTGCAAGCGGCAAGTGCGGAAGGAAAGGGCACATAAACTACAACTTGTGCCTTCGGGAATTATATACACAAACATTAACTTTGAAATCAAGTGACATGATGAGGATTTGGTGAGTGTGTTGCCGTCTTTTTTCTTGTGTATGTTATATATATATATTGTTGTTGTTGTTGTTTGGTGAGTGTATGATCTTTGGGGGATTGAACCTGCGTTTTGTGATGACACACCTATATCTTTACAATTTGACGGTACCTCATAAACCCTTGCTGCACCTGTAACGTAAGATTTAGATCCATCTATATACTTTGGATTGAAAGAATAAAAACACTATCATTGCTGGAGAATGTCAGGAGAATGTCAATGAGACTTCTGAAGATGTCTTGCCATTGAGAAGCCCTGAACCGAAAACCACCATGCACGTTGCCAGACTACTGCAAGCTGCCTTAGAGACTGGCAACATTGGAGGATCCTGACAGGTTCTATCCAAGAGGCACGCCCATCAAGCCCATCCTCGTCCCCAACTGCTAATCCCAGCAATCCACCTGTCCACTGCTGTCTTTGTCCATTAGCAGACCCCAGCGAAGGTGCTTATCATGAAGAACTGGGTAATCAGCAAATAGATCACCGGAGGAGCTGTGCAAATGTTCAAAATGCTCACCTCGGAGGCTTGTTGAATCCAATTCGTGCGGTGTCAAGAGCCAACTCATTGAAATTGCTTCAACAACAGTTGGATCTAAGGAGTGAAGCATGATGATCATATTACATCCATGAATAAAGATCTGAAATGGTTCCTTTTTCCACAACTTTGCAACCTTAAGAATGTCTCAATCTGGTACACTGGTACACCATTCATACGCGGAAGCCTACAGGATTCTGAAAGTCTGAACTTCTATCCCAGTCCGACTCTGTGGTTCAATATACCACGAAGACAGCCGCTTCAAGAGGTGAAATGCGAGGCTCTGTATCCTGCCTCCGGAACAAACAATCCACATACAGCAGAAAGTTGCGATATACGCCCCCATTTGTGTGCGTATGTTGTATTGATCTTGTCACGCAAACATGCTGTTTCCGGCAACACCCCAGTCGTCTCGCAGCGTCTCTTCGGCCTGCTTCGTCTCTTCGGCCTTTCTGGGCCTATGTGCTTCGTCTCACCATCCAGTCCGTGTTACTACTAGCGTGGCACTTGTTACTACTAGCTTCTTGTTACTACTAGTAAGGCACTTGCTACTACTAGCGTGGCACTTCGGTGGTTTGATCGACCGAGACGCCAAGGCCATGAAGGGGTACTGCATCGCAGCCGAAGGCATGTGCATGGCCTGGGGCTGCGCTGGTCAAAGGGACGAAGTCGGACGAAGGGACGATGACCTTCTACAAACAAAGTAACAGGAAGCTACTAGTTACGTAGAAGCAATGGCCTCCAACCTAATTAATAGCGATAGCCTCCAACCTAGAAGCAGCCATACAAAACCCAGGTAGGTTGCTATCAACCGAGGTGGTTGACCACTTACTACCTCGGCATCTTCTAGAATGTGCTGTCTTTGGAACCACTGGTTGCCAACATACTACCAGGA